CACTCTTCCATAGTGAGAAATATTCAACACAGAATCACCACGAGAATCAAAAACTTTACTTCCAGTTTTCTTAAAGTGAACTTCAAACTCTTCATCAACAATTTGTGAAACCGAAAGCAAATTGTACTTTAAATCCTCAACCAAAGCTACATTCTTCAATTCAAATTTATCATTTACCTTAACCATACCTGTAGCGAGAACGGCACTTGTAGCAGCATCACCAAAAATAATTGATTCAGTCTTGGATGCCCTCTTTAGGGAGGAGAACCAATTTTTATCACCGGTCATGTGCCGCGAACAACCGGAATCCACGATCCACACGTTCTCCTTCCTTGCCACCAAAGCCTACACACAAGCAGAAGTCGAAGCCTCAGTACTGGGGTTAGATGATAATAAAAATTTAGGAATCCAGTACACACGACCAGAAGATCCAATAGGCATATATCCACGTGCAAAATCAATTTTAGAATTTTCAGAGAAATTCCTCCGAGGCCGGTCTGACCGAAGTACAGTGGCCGGTCTGACCGGGGGCCGGTCTGACCGCCTCTGTACCGCCGGTCCGACCGGTGCCTGGTCTGACCGAGGCTGTTCAGCCGGTCTGACCGGTCGCCGGTCTGACCGCGGGACCCACTGCGGTCTAACCGGTTTTCTCGAGGGAAAACCAGATTTTTGCCACCTTGATTTTGCAAAAGCAATCACTCCTTTTTTTGTTTATGAGCTAATCTGAAACAAAAATCAACAATATGACCATCTTTTCCACAAAAAGAACAAGTATATTTTTCACGTTGTTTAGACACATTGTTAGAACAAGAAGATTTAGCAACACAAGCAGAAACAAGAGGTTTTTGCATGCACAACATTGGATTTTGAAGAAGACACATTCATGGTAGACATGATACCAGCAGATTTAAACACAGTTTTATTAGTATCATGTTTAATCAAAATCTCACCACTTCTAGCACCAACACCTAACACAACAGGAGGATGTCTAGAGTTATGAGCATAAGGATCAAAACCTAAACCACGGTTATGTGTGCTAACCTTTGATTGATCCACAATCATGTTGAGGTTCTTTTTACCATCAGAAAATCTTAGCAAAGAATTTTTCAAATAAGAAACCTCTTTTTCCAAATTAGCATAATTTTCACAATCTACCATGACACCTTTGCCTTTACGACATTTGGGGCAAGAAAGCACTTCATTGTTTTTCACAACATCTTCCATGTACTCAACACGACCTAAAGCATCTTTTAATTTCATCTTATTCAAATTACATGTTGAGCAATCCAAAACATCATGAGGTTGTTTTAACTTTTTAGCAGAAATCATGTTAAACATCAAACTAGCATGAAAAGCAATTTGATATTTTTGCAACAACTTTTTAGTTAAAAACAACTCATTCAAAGTGCGTGTGTGCAAAGCAAAACTACAAGCAAGAGAAGATCTATTTTTCAAATCATGTGCAACATTAACATCTCTAATTTTTGAAATCTCATTCATTAAAACCTCACAATTTTCACAATCATCATCATTAGGAATAAGAGATTTTAACCTATCAATTTCAGATTTAAGAGATTCAATGATAAATTCCTGTTTTTTATATATCTTCTCACACTTTTTATTTTTAGCACTCAAAATATTAATAGCTTCCTCAAAAGCACTCACCTCATTATCTTCATACTCTGTGTCAGATTCACCACACGCCATGAAGCAAACATCGGAGACGTTCTTTCCCTTATCATCATCTCCACTTTCACCATCTACATCACTTAGTGGCTCGAAGGCGGCGTAAACTTGTTGAAAAGCCTTCCTAAGATTCTCCATCTTCCTCCCTTGGTAAGAACCCTTCGACTTGTTGTTGTTGGGCTTCTCACCATCTTTGTCTTCTCTTTTGCCTCTCCCAAGCTTAGGACAATGCGAACGAAGATGATCAATTGAACCACATTCAAAGCAACGATTTGGACCACCTCTTTTCCTGTTCCTGGCATTATTCATAGCTCGAGCAATTCTGTTAGCAACCAAAGCCAAATCCTCCTCGATTTGTTCGAGTTGATCATCGGATGTGGCATTAAAAACAGCAAGAAAAGACGACTTAGATAAAAAAGCATCAACATCCAAAGAGGAAGAAGAAGAAACCAAAGCACTCAATTTAGAATCAACTTTGCGAGAAAGAATATTCATCTCATGTGTTTTCAATTTAGTATAAAGTGAATCCAAAGTCAAAGTAGACATGTTAACAGACTCCTGAATAGATGTAACTTTCATCTCCCAAATAGACATGTCGAGACCATTCAAAAAGTGACGAGAAATCTCAGATTGTGGGTAATTAGCATTATAAGAAGAATCAACAGATCTAAGATCACTCAAAATTTTATTAAACCTAGAAAGATAGTCATCCAAAGCTTCTCCAGGTTTCATCTCAAATTTAATGTATTCCTTTTTAAAAAGATCTTGACTAAGCTCTTTAATGTTATTTGTTCCTTGATGAAAATTCTTCAAAGCATTCCAAATCTCATGAGCAGTTTCAAGATGTGCAACACGATCATAATCAGAACGAGAAATCCCACTCAAAAGAATATTACGAGCTTTGCAATTATTTTCAAATTCAGTTTTTAAAGCATCAGTATTAATGGCTTCAGGAATCACATAAGGATGAGAAACTTTCCTCCAGATATCATAATTTTCAGCCATAATGTAAGATTGCATCTTACTACACCAATGAGGAAAATCAGTTCCATCGAAAATATGAGGCTTAGTTGAAAACCTAGCGGGAGTAGCCATGGCAAAAACTTTAGATCGATAAAAATCCAAAGAAGAAAACGAGGCTCTGATACCACTTGTAGGATCGAATCACAAGAACTAAGCTAACCAGAGGGGGGGTGAATGGTTGGTATACCCAAAAACCGAAAACTTTTAGCGGAAATAAAAGTTACCCTCGAACTCGATGTAGATCGGTCTGACCAGAGTAGATTAGCCGGTCTGACCGAAGCGTAGCCGCCGGTCTGACCGGTGTTGATCTACCGGTCTAACCGCCGAGATCGCCTGTCGCCCGCTGTCGCCGCCGCCGGTCTGACCGCCCGTATGCCGCCGGTCTAACCGCCGCTTGCCGCAGGTCTGACCGTCGGTAGATCGCCGGTTAGACCGCCGAAACCCGGTAAACACAAATCGAAGAACTCTTAAAGTGGATGACGACTTTATTGATTCTCTCTGTGTTTACAAAGTGCACCAACAGCACTCCTTACAAAAATTTCGACTAAACTCAAAACCCTAACTCAAAACTCAACTCTATTGCTCTCTAAAGCGATACCGGGAAGCCTCACGCTCCCCCTCTATTTATACATGAGGTAGGCAGCCTAAAGCCACGAACCAAACTCATACTAGGAGTCCTAAACACCTTAGGAAACCCTCTAGTACAAGAAAGAAACTTTACATAACCAATCTTATCAAATTTGGACTTCTTCCAAATTCGACTCCGCATCCCATACGCACACAATAACTCCATCGTATGCCATATGGAAACTCCATCAACCACGTGCATCAACTCTAGCCTAAGTATCCCGCATGATCTCTGACCACCACGGACGTCGTCTTATCCCCAAGCCGACTCCCGGTCCATCACCGCAAATAATCTCCCGAGACATCGAGTCACCTACACATGGAACAAACAAAGAAACCATATTCCGAGACCAAGCTATCTCCAACTTGACTCATTAGCAGCAAACAATAGTATTACATACGTATAGTATCCATCTAGAAGTCATAATCATGAAATAAACTCGGATATCCAAATAAACATCCTGAAACCGAAACCGACACAGTGTCAGCCGGTCAGACCGCGGGCTGCGCCGGTCTGACCGCGCATTACAAGCCGGTCTGACCGGCTACCAGAACCCGGTCTGACCGGTCACATAAAATGATAACTCTGCGATTCACCTGTAAATCCAATCATCTCCAAAACCACTTTGTGAATAAATTCCAAATAACAAAACCAATAATCTCTAATGCCCAATTATTCATCACAGAATAATAATCAAAAACACCTTTGATTTTACAAAGACATCTCTATAGAGACACCACAGCAATCGAGCCATATCACATCTAGATAGAATATGGTTAGTGGTTTCGATCTCCCCACATAACTGACTGGACTTAGACTCCTCCCCACCTTTTTCTCTTAAGTTGTTTAGTGGGCATTTCCACATCATCTTGCATGTTTATATCAATCACCCCTCTGAAAGTAAGAGCTCTATACATGGATCTAGTGGTAAATCTCTTATTTGCCATTAAGCCCCATATCAGTTAATTTGTCTAGGGCATCCACTAGTTCAATGCTATCAATCAGTATTCAGCTCACTCCATTCTTCCACTTCAACTGGCCCAAATGATCTCCAGAAGGATAGGCAACTGAGCCCTCCTTACCTCTTACCTCTTTCAACCCATTCCAAGCTAAATTGATGGCTTTCAGGTGATGTTGTAGCAAAATTTAACATATTTTTTTTAAAAAAAAATAACGAGATGATCTATGATACCCCATTTGTCACACCAGAAGTATTGTTGTGCTCACATGTGTCACCTGGCAAGATGACAAAATCCGAATATATAATCTTCATGATTTTTTTAAAACAAATTGGTACTTGTCATTCTCCCAGAAGAGAGCAAATGCTAAATTCCAAGACAATTCAATTCAACAATACGGTAAAGGGCCTTGGTACTTCCATCATAGAAACTACACTATGTATGGTCATATTTGCACAGGTAGTTCGTACTCTGAAAATTCAACTGACAGAAGTATGTACATCTACTCCTATATAGCATAGTTAGGATAAAGTAAGCTTACTTTTAAATTTAAAATGACTGTTTGTATCACGTTAATTTTGATAATGTAAGCCTAATAGTGTCAACTTTGTCTCGCTGGAATAGACATTGGTACTCATGCAAATGCAAGCAACAAGTACAAAGAAGTACTAAACACAGTAGGATGGTGTCTAAGTTGAGCTATGTTCGCAAGATAAATATATATATCAAAGATGGATCACGTACATTCACATCAATTGACAAGCTTCAAGGTAATGGAACATAGACTTATTAACCCAATTAACTAAGCAAAAGGTAGCGCCCATTATTTCAAATCATCATTTTACAAGTACATTAACGGTCAAACTAAAAATAAAAATAAGTAAGTAAGTATGCATTACATGGAAATGCAAATGGGCGTTTTTATCTAACACATAGATTTCTTGTGTTCGGAATTAAACTCTATGGACTTCCACCGGCGCCGCCACCATACCCAGATCCATAGCCTGAGCCGCTACCTGAACCACCTCCTTGGCCGCCACCGCCACCTCCCCCTCCACCTTGTCCATAGCCTCCAGCATGAACTCCGCCACCTTGACCATAGCCAGAACCGTATCCAGATCCGTAGCCTGATCCATTTCCACCACCTTGTCCTCCACCACCGCCGCCACCACCACCTTGTCCATAGCCTCCACCAGAAGCTCCACCACCCTGACCATATCCAGAACCATACCCGGATCCATAACCAGATCCATTTCCACCACCTTGCCCTCCACCACCGCCGCCTCCACCACCTTGTCCATAACCTCCACCAGAAGCTCCCCTACCTTGACCATAGCCTGAACCATACCCTGATCCATAGCCTGATCCTGCCCCACCACCCTGTCCTCCACCCCCTCCGCCTCCACCACCTTTTCCATAGCCTCCTCCAGATGCTCCACCACCTTGGCCATAACCAGATCCATAACCGGATCCACTACCACCGCCCTGTCCACCACCACCTCCACCTCCTCCACCCTGCCCATAACCTCCACCAGAAGCTCCACCTCCTTGTCCATAGCCCTCACCATACCCTGACCCTCCACCACCACCTTCACCCCCTCCGCCACCACCGCCTTCGCCACCACCACCTCCTCCTCCCTCAGTAGTGTATCTAGCTACTCTTGCTGCATTGGACAAGCCAATGCTCACAAGCAAAACGAAGGCAATAACTCCTATCTTCCTAGCCATAGTTGCCTCTTGCCTGAACAAATGAGATGTTGAGATGGATAGAAAAGTGCTGGATTGCATGCATATTTATAGATGAGTTTTGCAACGAGTGTACAGCTAAGTTCGTAGTGGCATGGAAGTGAAGAGTACTAGTTAGGCGAGCTCTTGTTCTGGACCTGGAGAATGCAAGTCTTTCACACTGATTTATTCGGCGTCAAGCCAAAAGACCTGTCGGCAGTATTCAATTCGTCACTTTCTACCCGATGGTGCAAGTCAAAAACCGTCGTCGATGAACAAAATAACCAATGACTAATTGAGATTCTAAGAATGAATAAGTGTTTCTGTTTATATCTGACTAATTACAAGAGGGAGTAATTAATATTCAGGGATATACAGTAGTGCTGAAAAGGGATTCAGACTGATTTAACCAACTAATTAGTGAAAGTTACGTTCAGGTTAATTTCTGGGTTAGCTAGACTTTCACTAATTGTGCTATCTGAGTGCCGACATGTATGCCGATCGTTATCAATCAGTTGTTCAGACCAATAGAGATCGATGCCTACTCTGACTCTGAATGACACCCAACATTTTGCCTGCGTACAAAAGTCTCTGCTCATGTTTTTCTATACTATGGACTTTCAGGTTATGCACTTATTCAGTACATGGCTTGCAGTCAGTCAGGAAAATTATTATGTGTTGAAAGCGATTTTCCTGATGTATTAATTAGTGGAAGCTTGGGATATTCAGAGTACATGGCTTGCAGTCAGTCAGTTTGTTTGCAACTTTAATCAAGATATTATCTAACAAAATGAAGCAACTGAAACTGCAACTAGTAGAAAACATTGAGCATGGCTAAAAAGTGTGGCGATTAATTAAACAATATCCTATATTATCTCATAAATACAATTTACCACAAGGAAACCGCCATCTGAACATCTGATCAATTTGTGCGTTTCTTGATCTTCAGTCTGGGAGATCAAGGGGCTGAACATGGACATATCGTAAAACAACGGCACGACCTATGCAGTTCTTGGAAAGATCAATGATAGCTGGTTTATATGTACATGACTCCAAAGTTAGCCCATGATGAGAAAAAGAGCATGTGTACCCAAAATACCATGCAGATGAGCCATGATAAACAGATAGAGAAGATATGTATGCCAGGGCAGATGAATGTTGGTGATGTGTTTGGCCATTTGCAGCCAAGAAATATCTCTGTGTTCTATAGTGTGTGAAGACTTAGAGGATAGACACGGCAGCAATGCATATGTGTTGGCAAAGGCAACCAGCCTATGGGCCATGTTATACAGGATAAAATTCCAAGTTTATCTGCTCTTTGGTGTATATATAATTAAACGGTCTGAGCTTTTAATTTCTACAAATTGTTTGGAAAAATGTCACAAACAGTGAAGAAAAGGCAATGTGGTTATATTGTTTGAGGCAAGTTATTGTAGCTAGTAACCACAGGAAAATAGGTTCCAAACAAATAAAATGTTATCATGGTCAATTAATCATCAAATGTTGGTAAGTGGCTCAGGTGAGATCACTAAGGGGCTCACTGGGATGTGGAAACAAAGGTTATTGGAGGAATTTTGAATGGTATGAATTATTTAGAAAATTTTCTTCGGCCCTTTTGGACAAAGGAGTGAATATCAAAGAAGACCTTGGTTTGCTTTTGTTGGCTAAAATGTAATTATTTAGAAAATTTTCTTCGGCCCTTTTGGACAAAGGAGTGAATATCAAAGAAGACCTTGGTTTGCTTTTGTTGGCTAAAATGCTCCTAACATATATAATATGCACATGCACCCATTTGGTCTCAGCATGTCTAGCTCTGACCCAAGTTAGCTTAACTGTCAGGACCAATTTAAAACTAATGATTTCCTCAAAAAAAATTAAAATTAATGTTCAGGTTAGGACAAAAGAATATATATCTAGTTGTTTGCAGGAATGAATAAATTTAGAGAACTACTATTTAAGTTTGTGCTTGTGTTATCAAAAATAAATAAATTTTGTGGTGGTTGTGCCTTCATTTTAAACTACTACTGAAAGAAAATGTGTTCAAGATATCGTAGCCTTGCTTAAGAAATCAAATTATTTCAGGATCAATTGCCATATCTGTCACATTTATACATCTTCTTGGACTACAGTGTGGATGCTCTTGGATGCGCAGTTGAAGCAATAACGGTAGCCAAGCTTAATTTCTTAACCATAGCCATTTACAACTACATTAAAGCAATACTACATCCGAAATATAACGATTTTGGCAATGTACTACATCCCTCCTGAAATAGTTGTCGCTTTGAGTTTTTTTCTAATTTTTAATTTTTTATCTTATTCAAAAAATTATGAAATTACTATTTATTTTGTTTGTGACTTGCTTTATTGTCGAAAGTACTTGAAGTATGACTTATCCTTATTTATATTTGTACTAATGGGAGTAGCTATATTTATGGCGCCATATTTTTTACCAAAAAATAGTCGGCATATATTTATATTGTAAGTTCCTAAATTACATATGTAATTTTAGTGTATTTACAATGTAAGTCTCGAAATTACATATGTAAGTATCTAAATTACATATGTAATTTTAGTGTATTTACAATGTAAGTACTAAAATTATATATGTAAGTCCCTAAATTAATTACTGTGTAAATAGAGTAATTACATTCGTTGATGACCAACACGTGTCATGCAAAGCAAAAAGGAGTACCAAAACGAGTCTAACATCTTGGCAAATGGGCCCCAAATAAAAATCAGATGACATTTCACTTCGATTAGAGAAGGGAATGTCAGCAGATGATGGGTCTTGCTCTCCTCTTTTTTTCTGGTCTTCGCATTGGATTGGGCCATAATGGGCCGAATTTGCATTGGCTGATCGGCTTGCAAGTTTATCTGTATCCAAATTTGCACGTATAGAACTATAGATCAACCAAATTCATCTACAGTTTTTTTTTTTTTAAAAAAAAAGGAGCAAATTCATCTACTAACATAAATTGGATCCAAAAACTTAAAAACCATTCGAATTATATCTTAGAACAAAACCAAACAAACACCATTTCAAAATTCAAATTACAATTTGCTTCAGGCAGCTTCGTCTTCAAACAGTTCCAGCATGGTCTTGTTTGATCCGTACGACGGACAACCATGACCACGACGACCCTGCTCCGGCTGCCCCGCCGCCGCGACGCCCAGGCGGCGCTCCTCCCAGCACGGCGCCGCCGCCGCCGCCTCGAGCGCGACGTACGAGGCGATCCCGACGGCGGCCGCGAGGAGCGCGAGGGACGACGCGCCGGCGAACACCCCGGCCACGAGCACGGTGCACCTGTAGTAGGTCTCGACGCCGTCCTCCCTCCGCCGCCGCTCGCCGCTCTGGCTCCTGAACGCGCCGACGACGAACGCCGCCGCCGACACGGTCGCCAGAAGCCTGCACACGCACGCACGCCGCCGGCGATCGATCGATCGTGACCTCGCTCTGATGATCAAACCGCGCGTACGAATGTGGAGTGTACATGTACGTGCCATGAGAGTACCGAGGAGAAGACGACGGCGACGCGGCGGTGGTCGGAGCGAGCACGGCGGCAGCGGTCCCAGCAGCCGGTGGCGGCGGCGACGACGGCCTGGCCGGCGAGCACCGCCGCGGCACCGGCGATCCCGCAGCCGAACGCCGGCGTCCGACGGTACACGCAGTTCACGCCGTCGTACCGAACGTAAGACTGCACAAGAACACACATGCATGCGTGTTAATTGCCATCTGAAAATCAGAATCAAAACGTACGTACCGAGAGCGTTCGATCGAGATGATGGCGGTGCCTTGGACTTGGTTGCCTCGCCGACGACGCCCAGCACGGCGGCGGCGAGCGCCAGCGCGGCCACCGCGACGCATATCGCGATGACGTGCGCCTCCGCCATCAGTGACCGTTGGAACTTGGAAGAGAGGTTGTCTTGGACAAATTAAATCGATTGGTATATAATTTAGTATTCCCTCCGTATTTTAATATAGGACGCCGTTGACATTTTAACAAACGTTTGACATTTCGTTTTATTAAAAAAAATTATATAATTATCATTTATTTTATTGTGATTTGATTTATCATCAAATGTTCTTTAAGCATGACATAAGCATTTTTTATTTGCATAAAAAATTTGAATAAGACGAATGATCAAACGTTGGTTAAAAAGTTAACGGCGTCATACATTAAAATACGAAGGGACTAATAATTAAACGGCACTTCTCGTGGAGGAAATCGCTGGTGTTGACGACTTCGAAGTTGGAACATTGTCTGGACTGCTACCTAGCTCGCTTTGCCTCTGAAATCGGAGCTGACTATCCAAGTACAGTAATTTAATACAGTATGTGTGTGGCATCTATCCTCCAAGCTAATGTTGATTAATTACCCCTCTATTTTGTAATGTACTCCGTTCGTTTTTTAATACATAACTAGAAAGGAAGCCCGCGCATATGCGCGGGCACCTTATTTATTGTTAATAAAATTAAGTCATATCTCACTATATGCATATAAGAAATTATAGATTTTGCCTTACAATTAAAAAAATATATGTCGTGAAATAGACCGTAGACTTTAATAAACGATAAGAATGTTTCTTATATTCAAACAAAAATCATTTTCGTTCATAATACACGTAAACTCACCTATTGTCACCATTACTAACTATCATTGTTGCTAGATGCCTTTTTAATAAATGGAATTACATCTGTATCACCAAAATAAGCCTAATACATTATTAATACATAAAACATTAATCTCCACTATATGCATACCTAAATATTTATCTCAACTCTTATTTCTAAATATATAAATAAATATTCTAAAAACACTGCTTCTATTGGTTAATGGGATAACACTGATAAAAATTAGACATCAATATCCCTCTAATAGGTGGAGCTACCAAGGATTTATTTCTCTTTTGCCTTCAAACATGGGTTTTATAGTGACGTACTCGTGCCTATCAAAGCTAGCATGGAGCATAATTTTAAGTCGTATTTCACTATCAGCACCCTCAAAGATCATTAGTAAGTAGGAAGTTGAGTGCTATTATCAACGGTGGCCTTCAATGGGTCTGCCTCAACTTAATTATATGTATGTCCCTCCTATAATTATGTTTACTACTTGTTGCCCTTTAGGAAAGAAAGAGAAGATGGATGTGATGAAACTAATTCTTTCCTTAAAAATATTATTTTTTACGTTTTGCGTTGACACAATTTGTTTGTAGTGTTAATCAGTACTGCTTAAATTTTATATGGTATAGATACAATATTCTCTTTTAAAATGAGTGAGGTTGGTCATTAAAAAATGTATCGTTAAACATACATATGACCGTGATAATCTTCAGAGTATCATATTATTGATAATCTTCAGAGTATCATATTATTGTTTATATTTTGATAAATATCTATATTTTAGCGTCTAGTTTGTTTTCATCCCCTATTATTCATAACAGGTCCATCAATTTAAATGAAAATTGATGACGAGATTACGTAGTTCCACGTGGCAGTCTAAGAGTGATTGTAGAAGTGCCACATGACCATATTTATGAGCATTAAATTATATTTTTATAGTGTAGAAAATCCTATTTAAAAAGATAGTCTATTTTTCCACGATGGTTCTAACACATATATTTTTCTTTAAGGTTTTATAGCTTTTTTTATCGTACTTACGTGCTTTTTTCAAATGAACAGTATAGGTAAAGGTATTTTTTTCCCATCGCAAGTTTTTCCAGTAAACGTCGTTTGTTTTTTGCCAAACGAACAGTATGTACAGGAGAGACTAATGGAATTTTACTATATACTCCCTCCGTTTCGTTTTATTTGACACAGTTGACTTTTTAGCACATGTTTGACCGCTCGTCTTATTCAAAAAATTTAAATAATTATTAATTCTTTTGCTATCATTTGATTCATTGTTAAATATACTTTTATGCATACGTATAGTTTTACATATTTCACAAAAGTTTTTGAATAAGACGAACGGTCAAACATGTGCTAAAAAGTCAACGGTGTCAAATAAAACGAAACGGAGGGAGTAATAGAAGATAGATAGATTGATTTATTATCAATAATAAAAATTATTATTATTATTTTTGTCTCCACTATGTACATGGAAAATAAAAAGAAGGAAAGGTTAATTACGTACGTACACGGGAAGGAGTAACCATTGTTGGTTACGTACGTAGGTACCTATGTAACAGAACCGAAGGGAACGGAAGGAGTAGCCGCTGTTCAGGTTGTTTTAAGATCAATATCTAATCTAACGGCTTATAATATTGGACCCACCGATTTAAGTGAAGATCAACGAATGGATGTTTTGCTTTTTTCTCAGATTTTCTAGGATTTTCTCTAATTTATTAGAGCGCCACATGTCGGCTTGAGAGCGTTTTGAGGAAGTTTAATGGACTTTTAGTATATAATAGATAGATAATAGATAGATAGATAGATAGATAGATAGATAGATAGATAGATAGATAGATAGATAGATAGATAGATAGATAGATTAACGTCATTATTAACTTTTTATATGCGTATGATTCTTTATCTTATTAATTGAACGACACCCATCTCGTGGAGAAAATCGCTGGTGTTTATGACTTCGAAGTTGGAACACTGTCTCGCCTGCTAGTTAGCTCCTTTGATCGGAGCTGACTATCCAAGGCCGAGTTTAGTTCCAAACTTTTTATTTAAACTTCTAACTTTTCTATCACATCAAAACTTTCCTACACACATAAATTTTCAACTTTTTCATCACATCGTTTCAATTTCAACCAAATTTCTAATTTTATCTTGAACTAAACACACCCCAAGTACAGTAAACTGTGTTATTTAGTACTCCTACATGTTATCAAATTCTCTTGTTTTCACACACATGCTTCACAAAATTGCTAAAAGTCAATCTTTTGCAAAAAAGAAAAAACTATAGAAAAGTTCCCTTAAAAAACCATATTAATCATTTTTTAAGTTTTTTAACTAATATATCAAGCACTAAACCGTCTTTCCATTTTGTGTGCTATGGGGGTTGGGTAACCCCCATAATCGAACACAGCCTAAATTGTGGGGGTTGCATATCCTCCGATCGAATGTTAATTACCCCTTCATTTTCGAATGTACTTTCTTCATTTCTTTTAATATAGGGCGTTGTTAACTTTTAATATAAGTTTGAGTCCTTGTCTCATTTTCTAAACAAATATGAAATTATTATTTATTTTGTTGTGGATTGTTTTATCGTTAAAAGTAGTTTAAAAATAATTTATATTCTACAAATTTGCATAAATAAGACGAATGGTTAAACGTACGTCGTTTAAAAGTCAACGATATTACATATTAAAAAATGGACGTAGTATTGTACTATAAGATTTCCCACACAATATCAATTATGCCTGCAGCAGGAATTAACACACAAAAAACATCCTAATTCGAGGTTCAAAATCTATTTGCAGTATTCCTCGCAAAAAGAAAGCTAGTATTTTCAATAATCCTGGCAAACCCAAAAAAAAATCTATTTCGAATTGACGAGCCAAATATTCGGTGAATCTGCACAACTGTGCTGGTGCAAAAATAAAATATTTGAAACCGCGACGGGATCCTCTGACGTACTGCCCTCTAACTTTGAGAGGATGACATGTGGGCCCCACAGCTAGCGGACCCACGTGTCGGCCACCCACTTCAGAGGGCAGTTAAGTTAGAGGAGCAGCTTCCATTTGAAACCGGAGTGCCGGACGACTATTCTTGCTCCACAGAGCGCTGGTCTGGCTGCGTTTTCTTCTAGTGGATGGTGACTACAGAGTACTTGGTAGGCATTGGCCTGGAGCGTTGATCTGTCTATCTCGTTTAATCAAAATTGCAAGATGCTTCATGAAATGGTAGGCATTGGCCGTTGAGGAATGATAGCTAAGATTATTTGTTGAGGTTTACTAATATAATTGGAGTACTGGAGAGTGATCAGGGTCCAGAAGGTTCCGTTCCCACTTGTCCTGCTATCATTCCCTGTCCATCCATTAGAATTAGAATTAGCTCGTGAAAGTGGAAAGCGAAAACCAGCTCAGCAGCAACCTAAAGTGGATAACGAGCTTGGTAAGGATCGGTTCGTCTGAGCTCGTTATTGTAATGAGCTAGCTCGGCTCTGCTTGTTAAGGTTAAGCTCGTTAACGCATTTATACCACATTTATAATTTTGAATTTACTATTTTATTATATACAAATTTAATTATAAACAGTACTCCCTCCGGTGCTATATTAATTGACGTTTTGGACAAGGTTGAGGTTAAACTTTTATAACTTTGACCATCAATAACTTTAAAAATATTTAGTTTAAAGAAATTAGAAAAACATATATAGATTTGTCTTTCAAAACACTATAATAAAAGTAAACATGTATTTATTTATTGTATATATTATAATAAAAAAATAAGGTCAAACGTATATCTTGTATTCTTGTAGAACGTGTCATTGTCCAAAGCGTCAATTAAAATGAAATCGGAGTAGTAAGTAATAGAGAATTATGTGTCCGTATATCCGATGCGACACGCCAAAACTTTACACCTATGGATCTAAACACCACCTAGAGTATAAATGCCATTTCTTTTGTTGATGTGATTTATTTTTATCAGCAAACAATCTCTAACCTCGTCTTATATTGTTTTGTATACTTATACTAAATTTTAATAAGATAAATGATTAAAAATTATTAAAAAATTAATAGTACCACTTATAGAAAGAAAAAATAGAGGCAATACTACTACAACCTCCTAGTTTAACGTATTTAAGGGTCTGTTGGATGGAGCTCAAACTCTAGCTCCACCTCTTCTGGTGGTAGAGCTCAGCAAAATAGTTTAATCTTCAAAAAAGAAAAAAGAGTGGAACGGGTGAGGTGCTCTTACAAATGAACAAGAGAGATGAAG